GCCCCCGGACCCCTCCCGGCCGAGGGGCGTGGGGAGGAGAGGGGGTCTCCGGAGAAGACCGCGTTTCTGCTTCGGGGTCGCCCGGCGCTGAGCCCCCCCCTCGGCTGAGAGCATCTCCTGGGGCAGGGATGAGGGCAGGGCGGCGTGCGGTACCCTCTCCTCACCGCCTGCGAGGTCTGAGCCCCGAGCGAGGTGCGAGGCACATATTTTCTGATCAGGAGTGTCTGGCGTAACAACCCGAGTCTCCTAAGCGTAATGGAAAGTGCCAATAAAGTAACTCGGTTATTCTGATAAACTCTCCCCTTGTCTTTGATGACACCCCTGTGGCCTCCGCAGTCCTTCTTATGAATAGGGTATGACACCTGCTAGCTGGGGGTAGTATATTAACTGGCAATGCAGAGATGGCCTCCTCATTTGCCATCTCGCCTGGCTGATGAGACCCCGCTTGGCGAGCCTTTCGCTGAATTCATTAGGACTGGGAGTCTGCCGTCTCGGGAGCAAACTTTATCATAGACACCTCATCGAGAAGTTGAAGTAATGTTATGAAAGAATGAAAAATACATTTGGGAGCTGCCTGGAAACTGAAGTACATTTTGATTTAACTTACATTAACAGAAACCTAATGTAAAAGTGAAGGGATCTAACAAAACCATTAATAATTTAAAAATAATTACAGATAGTCTATCCTTACTATTCATAACCACTCAACATTTTAGACAAAGAAAGCTGAATATTCTTTGTGGGAGAAAGATGTGAGCAGACTGCTAAGCAGGGGCCGTCCAGCTCGCGCTGCCTCTCCTCTGCTCGCCTACGTCGCACGTTCCCCACAGTACCCAGGGCACCATCCAAAAAGTACTTTTCCAGGAGGGAGGGTGAAAGCTGGCTGGAGGTGGAGGGCAGGTCCTGCCTTTGTACAGGGCTTTGTACAGGTGCTCTCACGCCTCCTTGGGCTCTCACGAAGCTCTGGCAGCCTTGGAGGCCTCAGGAATGGCCTTTTCCATCCGTAGCCTTGGTTGACACCAGTGGCAATGGTGACTCTCCTGTCCTGTGCTATTTAACGACAGCTGATATCAGCACCGTACATCATCCGCTTGGATTGCCATGGCTCCGTACAAAAGTTATTTTTAATGCATCCATTTTAATTCAAGTTTCCATCGTACGCTTCATAGCTCAAGGGTCTTGAGCATCCTGCAAGGCTGTGCTTTTGCCTGTGTTTCTGTTGGTTTGAGGATTTTTTGAGATACGCCTGCTGTCCAAACACTGTGTAAAGTCAAAGCAGCTGGATATGAGGCAAACTTCACTGCGTTTCCTTGCAGATAAAGATAAAATTGTAAAGAGGGAAACCTAAAGTGGCTTCTAAAGGAAAAGAAATATCGGACAATACAAAGCAGGTAAGAAATTCAGGTTTAACTCTCACAGGAACCTATCTTACAAATAGCCTCACAGGTGGGATCCCTTCCTAACCGCTTCCCCAACCACTCCTTGCACTGAAAACATTAAGATCTCATGGATCATTAAAGAAAAAAATCCTATAAATCACACTGTGGATGTCCTTGGGACTCTATTCTTGCTGATTTAGACAAAACCCTGGTATCTTAGATTACCCTTCATTAATTATTTTCATTAATTTCCCTTGTTATAAATATAAATGTATTATCACAAATCATACCCTAAACACATCCCCTAATTAAGCATGAAATTCCTCTCTACCTCCATATGCCATTTAAATGGAGCAAGGAGAACGCGCATGTTCAGCGCGTCGCTGCCGCACAGCCAAGCCCGGTGCCCGGAGGCTGGTGGCAGGCAGTCGGTGCGACAAAAGACGGTGCTTGCATGTCAGCTATCTTTTGGGACTTGCTCTAACTCAGAGAAAATATTTCGATTTCCCATTTGGTCATCAACATGGGCATGTTCTCAGCTCAGAGCTCTTAGCCCTTCCAAATTTTCAGTGTCCTCCATCTTCTTCTGCAGTGTTTTCAAGGTAAATCTGAGTTCCTTTTCTCCCCCTTCCACCATGCAAGGTGTTGGCTGATCTCTTTATACATCCCCAGGATTCATCAGGCACCACAGAGCAGCCTTCCCTTTTCAGCCAGGAAGAAAAACTATGACAAGTGATAAGCATTGAAAAAGGTGATGTAAACCTCGTGTTTCTGAGAAGGCTGTCACCAATGGATAGATGCAATTTTAAAAATGGTTTAACAGTTGCATCACTGGATCGGCGTTTGTGCCTCAGAGCCATTAAATAGTGTGCTAAAATACTTATTTAGGTAGACAAGGTCCTGCGGCCCCACGTGAGAGGTATATAATGTACAGCTGTGGTATTTGGTGTGTGCTGTGGCATGTTCTGTGCTTTCCACAGTCTCCATAGTTTTGGTGAGGTCTTGCATGGACTCGTCCTGCTTTGTGAATGGGTAGCGGGAAATGTCTGAGAATTGTTCTGTCTTCTCCCTTTGATCCAATGTCCACACAATCAGAGCATGGCGGGACTCGACCCTGGCTGGTGAGGAAGGCCCACTAGGACCAGCCTCTGCTAGAAATACTAGATACGTGCTGATGCATCGGTCCCTGCAGGACCAGGCACGCTAAGCTCAGACCTAGTCTACAGGCTCATCCACCTTGAAAACCAAGCTTTAATTCTCAAAAGATATACCTGGGCATAAGAGCAATGAAAATGTTTGGGGGGGACTCCACCTTATATGTGGACATAGACGCTTGTCTGTTTTATTCAAGGTTAATCACAAATCCTCAACTTCCCCCCCCCCTTCTTTTTTTTGGTTAAAATTCAGTAGGAATGCATTCCACCTTTCCTACAACCTCTGGGCACACATCAAAGCTCTTCCCTTCACACGCAGAGAATGGGCAGATATCTGCCTGGGTTCTCCTATCCCTTTTTATAAATGAAATATTGTATGTTCTGAAGACTGTTAATATAATGAAATCAAATTGTGAAATGCCTCTGCAGCTCATATCAACATTTCCTATTGGAAACAGCCTGTTAGGACTACGTTACCACGTGTCTCTCGCAGTCCTGAGACAGCAATCGAATTCCAGTGAAATCTCTTACCAAAGGCAATCAAGTCGATCAATGGGAGTTTTGCCAGTAACATCAAACCTGATTAAATGGTTCTATGTTAAGAACTGCAAATACACACATGGAGAAGAGGACGGATCAGAAAACGGAACTATGAAGATAAAGAAAAAATGCAGAAAGAAAAGAAATGATACCCAGAAAAAAAAAGCAGATTAGTAATCGACTGACATATATAGCCAACCCAATACAGAGTTTAAAATGCAGACAACTTGGTTCATAGCCTGTAACACAAACTTCTGTGGAGGCATTTACTCAGAAGAACTCTGATCCACACATCGCACTTTAAATATTTCGCTGAATTGGGATGAACTAAACCTGTGCTTAACTGCTTTACTGTTTGTTTTGATGGGGGAGACCTGGGACAACCCAAAGAGGCTGTCATTTTAAAACTTTCAGATATCATCACCAAGCTGCATATGTCTGCATATGCATCTGTTGCTATGTATATATAGTAAATATAGCATCAAATCATATTTTTACTTGTTAAGCCCTTAACAGTTATGTTGCCTGGTAGGTACCCTGACATAGTGAACTTATTTGAGTCAAATGTGTTTTGTTTTTCTTGTTTAGGCCAGCATGTTTCCTTGGAGTAAGTGAATTAGTTGCTGCACACCGGTGAGACGGGGGCGACACTTTCTCATGGGTCCCAGCATGCCTGTCCTTCCCAGTGACTTGGGCTCCCAGCGTGCTTGCCTGCCTCTGAAAATGTTCCTGCTGGGTCCAGACGCTCTAGCCCAAAGTAGGCCAAAATGGTGGGGGATTTTTTTGGCGTTTTTTGTTGTTTGTGTTGTTTTGTTTTGTTTTGTTTTGTTGGGGGGATTTTTGTGTTGTGGTTTGGTTTTTTTTTTTAGCTTGATATAGTTTTTAATAGTGTTCGTGGATATTTTTGAATGAGGGGGTTGGGTCTGACAAAGCTTTTACAACCATTAAAACTTGTCTGCTTTAAGTGCTGACAGCTGTGGAACGGCTCTTAATGAGGAGGGGTGCACTCGGGAGTGCCCTGCCCGTGGTCCCTCCGTCTGTGCTGGTGACCGGTGGGCAAAGCTTTTACAACCATTAAAACTTGTCTGCTTTAAGTGCTGACAGCTGTGGAACGGCTCTTAATGAGGAGGGGTGCACTCGGGAGTGCCCTGCCCGTGGTCCCTCCGTCTGTGCTGGTGACCGGTGGGTTGGTGGCATGGGGAGGGGAGGGGAGGGGAGGGGAGGGGAGGGCAGGGCAG